GCACCGCACCATCCCGCGTTGACTTTTTTCGAGGGTATATTTTTTTCACTAAGTCCCGAAATTCCCAGATCCAAGTGCCCATGTTCATAGCATCGTAACTTTGCATCCGTAGCTCCGATTCATGCATATAGCATATCAAAATGTTCATCTCAGAGAGTACATCATTTCATTCCAATGCATCATTTTCATTTGAGTTCATCTTGATGCCTGAAATGCTGTTAGAAGAGGGCTACTTGAGATAATTGTCAGATCTGCTACTCCGTTTAGCTTTTTGTCATTTTTGCCATGATTATTGTGTGCATGATATGCCCTGATGCTCTACAGATGTGTGTGGTGACTAGCACAAGCTTGCCAAGTGAGGCACTTGGTAATTCTGATTTCAGGGACTTAGCATTTCCACTAAGTCCTTGATCTGTTTATCTCATGATGCCATATGTTCATGTTGTTTCCGAGTGATCCGTGCCTCTTTTGAGGATGATCAGTAAGGATGATTTGTTAATCTTATAGTGCTCTATCCATCCATGTCTTTGTTTGTAATTATGGAGCACCCTAGATTGAGTCAATCGAGCTCTTGCTACTTTGTGAATCTGGGCAGATTGTCAACTTGTTTGCAATTTTGCCGATGATGTTGTAGTTGATCCGTGCATGCTATGCTATTGTTCTTGCCATGTCTTGCTTGCATTTTGTGTGTTCTTAATGGGTGTATGCTTAGATTGTCATGACTTGCACCGTAGTGAGTGCATCGAGCTCGTAAACATGCCTACTTGAGATATGTTTCAGCATGTGCCAGTTTTCACTAAGTCTAAAAAACTGATTATGTTTTTGCTATGTTCACATGCTTGCAATTGTATTTTCTGATCCCTTTTGGCTCAAGGTCACTAAGGGACTTTTGTTAAGCTCTTTGAGTAGCTTCGTTCCATGCTTTACTTTGTCATATTCAGGTCCTGTATCATGTAGTTTTGTCGCTCCGAAGAGGGCTACCTGATCTGATATTCCAAACAAGTGTTAATTTCACTAAAGTCTGAGATCTGTTTGCCATATGCATTTTTGCCATGCTTGCTTGAACCTGTTAATGGATGAATTGGCCGTAGCTCAGTGCTAGACTTTTGTTTAGCATCTTAAATGCATCCCTGCCATGTATTTTGTTGTCATGTTTGGGTGTTGTAGTATGTTCATCTCGTTGCATTTAGATGGCTACTTGCTATAAATGGCAGACCGGTGTCATATTTGAATCGCTTGCCATTTCCAAACCGTAACTCCGATTCCGGCGTTCTTTATATCGTTTTCAAGTGATTTCATCTCACCCTTCAAGTGGCACACTTGGATTTCGAAGTTGAGGCCAGGTTCATGCATTCCTTGTCCAATCATGCATATGCATCGCATACCGCATCTCGCATATCATACCATGTTTAGGTGTTGGTTGTTTACTATGTTGTGTGCTTCTTTTCCGGTGTTTGCTTCTTCGGGTTGGTTTCGGTAACGTCGTGCTTGTGAGGACCCGTTCGTCTATGTCTGTTTGTCTTCTTCATGGACTCGTTCTTCTTCCTTGCGGGATTTCAGGCAAGATGATCATACCCTCGAAATCACTACTATATTTGCTTTGCTAGATGCTCGCTCTTTTGCTATGTCTATGCTGCGATACCTACCACTTGCTTATCATGCCACCCATATTGTTGAACCAAGCCTCTAACCCACCTTGTCCTAGCACCGTTGATTGGCTATGTTACTGCTTTGCTCAGCCCCTCTTATAGCGTTGTTAGTTGCAGGTGAAGATTGAAGTTTGTTTCTTGTTGGAACACGGAGAGGTTGTTCCTTGTTGGAACATGTTACTTGTTGGGATATCACAATATATCTTATTTAATTAATGCATCTATATACTTGGTAAAGGGTGGAAGGCTCGGCCTTATGCCTGGTGTTTTGTTCCACTCTTGCCGCCCTAGTTTCCGTCATATCGGTGTTATGTTCCCGGATTTTGCGTTCCTTCGCGGTTGGGTAATAATGGGAACCTCTTGACAGTTTGCCTTAAGTAAAGCTCTTCTAGCAATGCCCAACATTGGTTTTACCATTTGCCACCTAGCCTTTTCTTTTCCCTTGGGAGTCGCGCTCCTAAGGGTCATCATTATTTTACCACCCTCCCCCATCGGGCCAGTGCTCCTCTGAGTGTTGGTCCAAACTAGAGTCCTGTGCAGCGCCCCCTCGGGGAAACTCGAGGTTTGGTTTTAGTTGTATGGAGCGCTCATCTGAGTGTGCCCTGAGAAAGAGATATGTGCAGCTCCTATCGGGATTTGTCGGCACATTCGGGCGGTGTTGCTGGTTTAGTTTTACCCTGTCGAAATGTCTTGTAGAACTGGGATACCGAGCCTGATCAGAATGTCTCGGGAGGAGGTCTATTCCTTCGTTGACCGTGAGAGCTTGTGATGGGCTAAGTTGGGACACCCCTGCAGGGATTTGAACTTTCGAAAGCCGTGCCCGCGGTTATGGGCAGATGGGAATTTGTTAATGTCCGGTTGTAGATAACTTGAACCTTAACTTAACTAAAATATATCAACCGCGTGTGTTACCGTGATGGTCTCTTCTCGGCGGAGTCCGGGAAGTGAACACGGTGTTGGAGTTATGTTTGACATAGGTTGTTATAGGATCACTTCTTGATCATACTTTCTCGAACGTGCTTTGCCTTCTCTTCTCGCTCTCATTTGCGTATGTTAGCCACCATATATGCTAGTCGCTTGCTGCAGCTCCACCTCATACCTTTACCTTACCTATAAGCTTAAATAGTCTTGATCGCGAGGGTGCGAGATTGCTGAGTCCCCGTGACTCACAGATACTCCCAAAACCAGCTTGCAGGTGCCGTTGAACAGAGTAGGTGACGCAACCAAGCTCAAGGAGGAGCTCGATGAAGATCTTGTCCTTTGTGTTATTTTGTTCTAGTTGATCAGTAGTGGAGCCCAGTTGGGGTCGATCGGGGACCTTTGTCGCATTTGGGATTCTTTTTTTATTTTGGTTCCGTAGTCGGACCTTGAGTGTATTTGGATGATGTAATGCTTTATTCATGTAATTGTGTGAAGTGGCGATTGTAAGCCAACTATGTATCTCTTTCCCTCATGTATTACATGGGTTGTGTGAAGATTACCTCACTTGCGACATTGCTTTCAATGGTTATGCCTCTAAGTCGTGCTTCGACACGTGGGAGATATAGCCGCATCGAGGGCGTTACAAACTTATTCTTGATGCAAGACTCGTGTCAGTCAAGATGTTATTTGGACACATCGCCCACCTTGATCCGTAAAGCACATCTCGATGGGTGACTTCTAGCGCACAAATTAATATTCTATTTGATCCCCGCGTAAGTACAAGGTTGTAAGCATAAGACCTCATACACGTACCTCTTTTTATTATAAGTGTTTAAATCACTATTTGGTTGCTGATCCGGTCAAAAGATGGATTTGACAATTTGACAAAAGCTTGCTAGAGACCATCGCTTCAAGGGAATCTCCCCTCGTGGGTTCGACAACTCAGGGTCACCTCTGGGAAATAAGTGAGGGATACTCTTTTTTGTTCTAATACCGGATCAATAAAAGGAGGTATTAAGGGTTGCTAACTTTATTGCCCTCAAAAATTGCATGGTATTGGTCTGGAATTAGGCCAACATGAAATTGAGGATGTACCTTCTTTTTTTCAACTCCATGTTTGGGTGTGCATGTGGAGGGTTTTCCGCATACTCTCCGCCATTTATTTGGCTTTTGGGTAGTTGGTTCTTTGTTTGGATTAATGGAAGATGTTGACCTTCTGTGCCTTTGCGGGGTATTCACGTGTTTGTGCTAAACATTGTTGCCTTCATTGTGAGTAAGGTTCGGTGCATGCATGTGCGTGAGAGACAGAGAGAGCATGAGAAGGCAAGTTGTTTGCACAAAGCCGGGAGAGAAAAAAAAGCTTGCTCAAAATGGCCTATAAACTAACCTGATCAAGCGACATCATACATTTATTAAGAATTAAATCAAGAATGTATTTCTTGCATTTTGTGGATTGTTGGCCCAATAAACCCAATGAGAGGGAGCATGGCCTGAGGGTAGATGCATGAGAAGTCTCGCAATATGTTCAGTTTTAATAAGTTGATTGTGTTTGGCTAGTCATGTCATGTCGATGCCGTCTAATAAATGCCCCGAAGAACATCTGCAGGATGGTGATGTGTTTCACTAAACAGAGCAAATATACGCTAGCCATGTCATGTCGATGCCTTCTAACAAATCCCCCCAAAAGAAATCCATGGGATGGTTCTGCGTTTCACTCAACGGAGCAAATGTACAAAATTGCAAAAGGATTCGCTCAAACAGAAACATCGAGGGGCCTATTTGCAAGATTTTAAAAGCGTGATAGTAAAGGGAAAAAACACGGGAATTGAGAGTCACATCACTACATGCCTGTGTACAAGAGAAACATGAAATTCTTCACGCAAGGTTGGAGTGTGGGAAACTTCCTCTGAAATCTAGTACGAACAAATGAAACGAGTCTTAAGAAGGAAAAAGAACGTGACCCTACAAACCAAAGAACACACGTAGGGAAAAGAAATCATAAGAATTAGAATCCTTTAAAACTCTCCTACAAATCATTTCAACCAAAGAGACCCCGAAGCAACGGCAACGCAAATAAAGCTGATATATACTCTCGCAAAATACAGAGAGAGAATAAAGCTGGTATACTAGTACGTTTTAAACAGCAAGCCGTTGATTCTGGCGTGGCCGCACCCGCGCCGTTGCCGGATGCTGATGCCGCACGCCACGCAGCGAGATTGGCCAGGAACGGAAAGGGACCGCGCGCGTCACTCCCACGGTCATCTCCATCTCATCGAAGTAGTCACACAGGCGTGGCGTAGGGAGGCCGGGAACCAATAAAAAAGGCCGTGTCGGGCGAAGAGGAGAATCAAAGCGACTCTCCTGGTAGCAGCAGCTAGCCAGCGACTCCTGCTTTGCTTTGCTTCCTCGTCGAGGAAGAGGAAGAAGAAGATGGGGGGCGTCGGCGTCTCCCTTGCGCTGCTCGTCGCCGTCGTCCTCTCCGCCGTCGCTGCTGCCCCGCAGGTTCGCTTCTTCTCCCCCGACCGATCCCGTCGCCGCTCGAGTCAACTCTCGAAGATCCGGTTTGGTTCGTTACCTAGCTTGCGGAGATAGGGGAACTTTGAGGATCGCAAGCTTAATGGGCCCCAACCGTCCTCGGGGAAGCAACCTCGCTGGGACCCGCAGCGGAGGGGCCTCCCGCGCCGAAGCGCCGTGCTGGTGGAGCTCGATGGCGAGCCAACCGAGGGCCTTTTCTCTGATATAAGCTGATGCCAAACGCTGAAAGAAAGTCGAATAGCTCTGAAATTCTTCTAAAAAAAGCTCTGAAATGAAAATCTTTTTTTTTAATGTTTTTGTGCTGACCTTCTCAGGAAGGCATGTCAGAACGAATGTTTTTTATGGCATTTTTAGTTGCCGCGACGATAACAAATTCAGCTAGCAAACACGGCAAATCCTGGCAAGAAAAAATGAACTGAACGGATTTGCCACGCCTACCCACTAAACTTGCCATCCACGGACAACAAAATTTGCCAGACGTTCGCTAGTTATGAGGGTTCTTTTTATTTTGTTCTTTGTGTGCAAATAAGAACAAAAACCCGATCCTAGCACCGAATAGATAGGATCAGCGTGTTACTCGGTTAGCTGAATCACATATATGTTTGCTTAAAATCTCTATGTACATGCAGCTAGCCGGCACAGCCAAGGCAGAGCATTCCCTAGGAATCATCCAGGTGACTTTTAGTCCCACTCAAATTGACACCATCTTCATATCTATTGTTTGTATTACTCTTCATGATATGGTGTTGTATTGTACTGTCGCAGAAGGACATCATTCAGACGGTCAACAAGCATCCCAATGCCGGGTGGACGGCTGGACACAACCCCTACTTTGCAAACTACACTGTAAGCACTAAACAGCAACACCCTCCTGTTGTTCTCATCATCAAGGCAACATTTTTTCCTTCCTTGTATTCTGACCTGAAAATCACCCTCTTCCATGCAGATTGAGCAATTCAAGCATATCCTGGGAGTGAAGCCAACGCCTCCGGGTTTGCTCGCTGGTGTTCCGATCAAAATTCATCCAGAAATGGATCTCCCCAAGGAGTTTGACGCTAGAACTCAATGGTCCAGTTGCAGCACAATTGGGAACATACTTGGTAGGTTCAACAAGATAACTCAATGTTGACCCACTTTCAAGTTTCAGCCAGAAATTGGTTTCCTGCGTCTTTTTGATTACTTTGACTAACTCCATTTCCTCTCTACCTTTCCAATACACTGGAAAACGCGGAATCTCATGAGCAGATCAAGTAAGAATATTCACACTACCTTAAATTGTTAGCTCCATGAATGCTTACTGAATCATGCAAGATGCTCAAGGTATTATGTATGTATTGGTTAACAATGGCAGGGTCACTGTGGTGCCTGTTGGGCCTTTGCTGCCGTGGAAGCTCTCCAGGATCGTTTCTGTATTCATCTCAACATGGTGAGTGCATATGAACGACGTACCTGCTCTCAGACTACTTTCAAACAGGCACGTTTAGTCCTTATCCTTACATAACAAAGTTGCTGTTTGTACTCCTTGCAGAGCGTCTCCCTTTCGGTCAATGACCTACTGGCTTGCTGTGGTTTTCTGTGTGGTAGCGGTTGTAATGGAGGATATCCTATCAGCGCATGGCGCTACTTCCGTCGCAGTGGCGTCGTCACTGAGGAGGTATATATGATACTTTTCTACTTTGTACCATTTGAATGTTCCGATCCTCCAAGAGCGATAAGTTTCTGTTATCTAATAAAATGGTTGGTGTGTGGAATGTCAAACAGTGCAATGTAAACTCAACGTCTCAGCAGTTGTTAATGCAAGATGTACTGAAATTCTTCCGTAAATCTTACAGTTGAGTTAATGCATAGATGCTATGTGGTGTGAAATGCTAACAGTGTAAATTTGAACCAAAACATAAGGGAGTTATTTCCTCTGTTCACTATTATAAGATGTTCTAACTTTTTTCTAAATTGGATGTATGTAGACACGTTTTAGTGTGTTTGTTCACTCATTTCAGTCCGTATGTAGTCCATATTGAAATATCCAAAATGTCGTATAATAGTGGATGGAGGGAGTAGTGGTTAGTAGGAGCATATTGTATTCTACAGTTTTACTGATTATGTAAACTCATCCCAAGTTGCTTTGAGAAAAAAATACATGTGTCTTGTTTAAAGCATAGGAAATTTCTTGCAGCTTAACACGAAACATAAAATACATGAACCATCGTCAAAATTTCCATTAATCTTCATGAAAATTGATCCCAATGCACATATGTGGCTCCTCTTTCCTCGCCTACCATGGCTGAAAGTTAGATCATGTCCACCCTTGGTGGCTGCTTTGTTAGCTTCATCATTTTGGGTTTTCTCCTGTTCCATATTAATGTATATTTACTTAAATAGCACTTTCCCATACTGTTTGCTGTATAAAATTCTGCTTGGCATACCATTAACCTGGAAAAAAACACTTTTTGGCAGTGCGATCCATACTTCGATCAGACTGGTTGCCAGCATCCTGGATGCGAGCCAGCTTATCCTACACCAAAATGTCAAAGGAAATGCAAGGTGGAGAACCAAGCGTGGAAGGAAAATAAGCATTTCAGTGTTAACGCGTACAGAGTACATTCTAATCCCCATGACATCATGGCAGAGGTCTACAAAAATGGCCCTGTAGAAGTTGCTTTCACCGTTTATGAGGTAACTTCAGTATTTTTCCTATTTCTGACTTTTAACCCGAGGTTCTAAAAATTGCTATTTAGCAGAAGTCGTGGCGGATCCTGGGTTGGTTGCAGTTACTGAAGTAAATTATTAGCAAAAGCTTAGAAACAACTAACATAGGCACTCTAGTGAGTAAGATGAAGCATGCAATGCTGTTGTACGGTGTTTCTTCAGTTCGCTAGTCATTTGATATACAGCTCATATGCTTGGTGATAAGATGACAAAGAATCAAAAGGAAGTATCTTATTTCTCGGGTTACTGATTTAGTACTGCCAAATTTTGGACTTCGCACACTACAAATCAGGAGTATACAAGCACATCACAGGTGGCGTGATGGGAGGTCATGCCGTCAAGTTGATCGGTTGGGGAACCAGTGATGCTGGCGAGGATTACTGGGTACATTGTTGATTCCCCATATCACACTATATGTTGAACAATGATCAAGTCCTGATATGTTTTCTTTGTCTTCTGCTTTTCAGCTTCTTGCAAATCAGTGGAACAGAGGCTGGGGTGATGTAAGTTTGTGACAAATTCCTCGCATTGTTAAATGTTATTAACAGAGTATTGGGCTGAATTAATAAAGAAATATGGTAATGCATTGTAGGACGGATACTTCAAGATCATAAGGGGCGAGAATGAATGTGGCATCGAAGGCGATGTTACTGCCGGTATGCCCTCGACAAAGAACACGGCCAGAAACAATGATGTCGCCTTTGGAACGGCCATACTTTGAGGAGAGCACGAACACAGTTGAAATTAGCTGTTTGCATGTCAAATGAAGCCACTAATTTAACTCTGTGGGTTCCATGATACTGTATTCTGTACACTAGCGCAAACGCTGATATGTTGTTCAAACAACACTTGTTCAGAAACAGAAGGGGATAATAATGTCAATAAAAACATAAGGATGTCATCTCTTCAATCATTATGTGCTATGTTTCATTTTTAGTGTGCAGAGTTGATCTGTACCACAGAGATGAGCTCATGATGAACGGTACTGTAAAATGGAAGAATCCAAGTAGAGCCACCAGTGCACATGAGCTATGATACAAATCGGTGAAATCTGATAGAAGTGTCACTCAGGAAAATTATTCAATGATAAGATGTCGTGTTGGTAACATTTTATCATGAGCTCACTAGCATTCACTCTTTTGACGAATTCAGATTTGACAAGAAAAGGCAGGTATATCATGAATGTGTGTGGATATGAGCATCGGGTTAACATTGATCATGCAAGGCAAAGCACAGGGTCTTCTTCTCTCATTGAAATGCTCTGTTAAGAATGTAGTCATGGATTACAACACACATTAACATTTACATTCTTCCCTCCACTATTCTCCGACGAAGAAGAAAAAGGAACCTACCACCCACCACCCAGCTTCCCACTCCCTGCCCCCTCCAGTCAGACTAACCTTCTAAACAAAGAGAAGACCCAGATACTGACACCAGGCACCCATCTTCGGGTGCCCAGGTGAAATGGACCTCTACTTTCCGTATCCTACAATTGGAAAGCATTGGCTAAAAACGAAAATGAATATGGATAGGGCAATGCGGCTTATACTTTACACCTCTGAGCTTCAGCCAGAGTAAAAAGGGGAAGAAGCGCTCCCCGGGAAGTTGTCATATCCAGGAAGACTTCTTCTCGCCGTATCCTGTGCATGGAACGCCCTTCTCTTCTTCCTCCCTCTTGCTAAAAAGGGTCTGGTCCGAGCAATCAAGACCCGCCCCACATGCCATATTGTACAACTCGCAAGCGGAGTAGCATACCCGAAGCCTGTTGTCCCCATCCTCGTCGCACCTTTGAATTGAGATCTGATCAATGGAGTAATAAGAATGAGATGAGAAGACAGTTTTCCCTCTTAACAGCACAAACCTATAAGGCCACATATACAAGGAGGGCATAGCCGCATGGCCAATAAAATTGTCTATTAACTTAAACATCACCACTACTTGGCATCGTACATACTGCAATCTATTTAAGTATATATGCTTCTTCAAAGTGGCATCTATTGGTCTATTTGAGGTAAGTTGTGCAACTTAATCTATTATGCTTGTTTTTAGAAGCTGTAGTGAGAGCTAAACTTCTTGTAAGTATGCAGCTGAAGTTAAACATTCCAAAAATAGGAAGATAATCTAAGTGCCACTATTCACCCACTTAATGCTTGCAGCAATTAACAGCAAAATATAATCTCATGGGTAAGCAACTGTGGCTACACAAGTTTGAAATATCAGAAGGAAGTTAATGACATAAACATTTGAGAAATGGTCAGAGGGAACAGTACCCAGCAAGCCAGCCGCTTCGCCGCTGCTGCACAATTGGCATTGTTGAAGAAGTTAAGGAAGGTCCGCCCACTTGGCATCAATCTATTGTAATTTGGCACAAGAACTACTGCTTCGAGTTGCTGTAGTATGCTGAGTTCACTTGGTGCACAATGCTGCCCATCAGAATCCCGAACCAGTACATCATGACACATTGACAGGCTGGGCAGTATTGTCGAACCCTTTTGACAAGTGTAGCCCGCATAATCTGAACATCGAAACTCACATTTACCATTGTCACAAACCCCTCCATGCAAACTACACTGCTCATCACAAACCGCTGCATACAATGAAAACAAGACATTACTATTGCTTGTTCAATCAAGAGCAGAGCAACTAATCAACGCATTGTGAGTTTCCGATGTTTGATCATTCTAAAATTGCAAACTTTACTGATATCACAAACCATGTCTTTCATCCCACAACGCAAATGGATTTGTTCAATATAGGTATGTGAAATTCTTCAGGCCTTCACCATGGCCTAAACCTCATGAATACAGCCCGCAGTAATAGATGTGTGCATCTATAGAGACTTTCAGTTATTAAGCTTTTACCTGTTGAGCAGTCAATTCCCGTCCAGCCACTTTCGCATTCACAGATCCCATTAGCTTTGCATATACCATGACCACTGCACTTGTCTGGGCAAGATCCTGTTGACCCAAACCAACACTAGTTAGTAAACAGAATGAGCACTTCAACATATCAGGATGGCGATCATGCCAATTTCTCAAGAAATGAAGGACTACACATTCTTCGTATGACCAATAATTGCAGATTGTACATGTTGGCTATTTGCCTCATCCTGATTGACAATTCACATGAAAAAGAACACGACAAAAGTTGCATGGCACATTTGCCACCAAAAGAATGTTTCACTTGAACCTCCAGGTTATTCATCATCATTCCCAGGATACAAAATTAGAGAATTTGTGCTGAAAAAGTTAATAACTGGAAGAAAAAATAAAGACACGTCCAGGGCTGTGCAGCTGTATACTCACTTCTACTGCAGTCATGGTCATGGAACCCAGGGAAGCAGTGGCAGGTTCCAGCAATGCAATCACCATTGAAACTGCACGACTTGGGGCACTGGCCGCTTATTTGGACTGGTACGGTGTTGCATAATTCATGATATGCCGGGCAAATCAAGTCCCCTTCAGCACAAAATTAACTTGGGTGAGAAGTGAGAACTAAAGAACAGAGCTTGATTTAATACACCTTAGACAACAAAACACACCATTGAAGCCTGGGAACTGAACTGGGCCACCAGATTCTGGACATGACTTCCAGACGCCGTCAACAGCAACCTATCATTGTTCAACAGTATTTTAAAATTGACAGTAGGAACATGATTCATAATTCATTGCTTGAGCAAATGTGATGTGGCCAGTATCAGAAACAGTATGATGATGCGTTAAAAAACACAAAACATGAAGATAATCACCCAAGAAAAAGAGAAAGCTAGCTGAATGACTGCATTGTAGGTAGCAAAAATAGTATAATCACGTGGCACATCAATCTCCATACAAATCCAATGGTGACAAGAGTTATCGATCAAATCCATAACCATATTCGACATTTTAAAATCTGCACACAAGATTACCATTGGTGCACGTGAAGTAGACCAAACTTACTGTCATTGTCATTTAGTATTTTAGGAGTGAAGAACCGAACATAAGTTCTTATAGCCATAGATTATATTTTGGCAATTATTATGATGAACATTACAAATAACAGACACCACACATGGAATGGAAATATAACACTGCACGAGAATATTTGGAAAAAGACAGGGTCCAAGCACAGTTTAACTTTGTGCAAAGTGATATAATAAATGAAACAGTAGCCACCTCTAAGGAGTTATTTGTGCAGCGATGCTGATAACAGCCATTTCCCTGGGTCATAGATCCACGGACAAACCCAGTTCGCACTAGTGTTGAAGCCATACACCTGTACGTTGGCGAATTTTCAGAAAACAGTCAGAATTGTGAAACGGGGTGTTTTATAATGAGCATGCATCCAAATTATCTTCAGCAGTCTCACCTCGAGTTACTTCCTCGTACTTCACCTAACATTCTGTCAGGTGCTCGTGCACTATTTACGTCAGTGCACGAGCCATCGGAATAAGCAACAAAATATGTGCAGTAATCAGCTAATGATGACTGTCCACCTACAGATGTGAAATTGTGTATGAGAAACTCAAAACATAACATGCTGACATACAAGTATCGAAGGATTAAGAAGGAAAGAAGATAAAAAGGATGGAGGGTCCTTCTGTTGTTGTGTGTTGTGACGTAATCTAATTACTAGGTGATCTGTACTCATTTTCTGGTGTGCAAGTAATATGTCTCTGTTACAGCACGACAGCAGCCAAAGAAAATGAAGTGCTTTCTGAAACAAAAAATGCATAACAGACCCTAAGATTGAATAGAACATGAAAAAAAGACTTCCAGAAAGAATAATTGATTTTTTAACCTCAGAGATAGTTCTAAAACTGATCCCCTCAATAGCTTATCAGGATCACCTCTTGGATTAGGTGATTCAACTTACTCTGCAATGGGAGATTATTGCGAAACAGCAGCAGAAGGCAAAGCTTTGCACACTTTTCAGAGAGGATAGAGTGGATTGATGGGGTACTCCCAAGTCCTAACATACCAACAACTATATACTAATTGCACCCAACCAAAGTTATGCATTTAGTACAAAAAAAATAGTGTGCCTCCCCCCCTCAACTAAGAGGAGGTGTAAGAACTAACAGCGATTAAACAGAAAACTTAAATCCATATTAAGAGTTCTCTATGTCATTTGAACAGCCCGTATAATGTCAGAAAAAAGGACCATTTATCTCACCTTTATTGGCTTGAGGGAAATATTGAGCCCACTTGGGCAAGTCCCCACTATAGCTAACTATAGGACAGTAACCTTCTGCCTCCCTATTGTATGTGCATCCTGATAGTTGAGTTGTGTTGCAGCGGTATGCCCCTTTCCATGAATTGCAGGGGGAGATCGCAAACTCTGTTCCCTGATTTCGACCCCAGTCTAAATGCTCAGCCATGCTATAATTAGCTTGATACCATCCACTGTCCTCCAATAATGCTAAAGTCATCTTTGAAACCACTGATCTTGTATCCACCGACCCAGTCATGATCTCATTCATTAAGAGTCTTTTCTCCCAATGTGAACCTGTTAAGAGTGTCAAATGTTAGTGAAGGGAGGAAATCTACACAACTGGGGGTATTCTCAACTCATGTAATACGTAAATGTCAGAAAATACAAACATCAAACTATGGAGACTTATGTTATGGCAGCAGTACCTGAGGTACCCCTGCCTCCGCCATCTTCCAATTCCAGCCCACTGAAGTTCTGGGAAAATGCCTAGCACGATGAAGAAATGTATCAATTAGTATGAAGCAGCTT